TTTCAAAGTATTTCACGGAGCGAAAAACACGAGTACATAATCTATCAGGCTCTAAATTCATATTTTTTTTTGTACTGTAAACGCATGTATGTGACACTTCACATAACCTTAATTTCAAGTAAACTGTAAATTCAGTCTACTGTAAATTGTATAAGAACGTGTATGATACGTACTTTCGTAGTCGAATAGAATTTTACGAGCTTTACAAGTGTTTACCGTAACCTATTTTGATTCATTTTTCTTTGTGCCTCAAAAAGATTTACGTACTCAACGATTTATATTAATTACAACACGATAAATCAGCTTATAATTTTTAATAAACAGCTCAAAAGAGCTTTACGTTCATTGATATATTATAAAGTTTACAAAACATTTTATTTAGTTTTCTACGGTTTCTACAACTTATCTACGTTTTAGATAGTTTCTTAAAAATCTATCAATGATAGTATCCAGGGATGGATTTTCTACAACATTTTCAGTATTCTATGGTATATTCGTGAGAATCAATCATATCAAAAACGTAAGAAAGTCGTAGACAACGTAGAAAATGTAGAAAACCGAATTAAACGTTTTGTGAAAATTAAAACGATGTAAAAACGTACGTAAAGCTTCTCTTTTAAACTGTGTATAAAATTATAATTTTATCTATTGTGTTATTACTAATATTCATCATTAAGTATGTAAATATTTTTAAAGTAAAAAAAAAAAATGAATCGAAGAAGGTAACACACACACGTAAAGCACGTAAAATTCAATTCGACAACGAAAGTACATATCTTACACTTTAAAGTTTACAGTAGGCTGAATTTATGGTTTACTTGAAATTAAGGTTATGTGAATTGTTGAGAACTCTCCGTCCATTACTATGTAGAAAAGCCTTAAAACTTTCTACAGTGTTTGAGGTATTTGACGTGTTTCTTACGCGTAGAAAACTTACTTATTCGACACCAAGTTTTCTATATACAATTCGTTAAACCTTACAAGTGACATCTAAAGGGTCACTCTTGATGCTACAACTGCTACATGCAATACAACTCGTGGATTACAAGAAAAACAGTTGAAAAATTGAAATTCATCAACACTGTCAAAAGAGCGTATAAAAATTATTTCGGTAATATCTTGTAAATGGTGAGAGATAGGATGAAAATAAAAATACTATCGTATAGAGCGGAAAATTCCGTACCGATTTGGTCTTCAAATTTACTTCGAGGTAGCGCTAATTATTAGTCTAAAAATATAATAAATATGAGAGTGAGTAAGACAGAAAGCGCAAACAAATATCAATATGTATAAGTACACATGTACATGATGATGTGTGTTTACTTTTACTAATTATCTTAAAATTTGTGTTAGTCTCGACTTGATCAGCTCATAAAACTTCTGTTTGTGATAAAATGTATAAGATATGAGTTTATTCATCTAAAAAGGGATACTAATACTTAATTGAAATTATCACTTTTAAAATATTATTGTTATAATATTTCCAATGTAATTTAGATAACTGTAATGATTATTAGTAGGTGATACGTTTATCCCATTATACTCTTGTTGTTACATGATTTGACATGTTATCCTTGAAATATTCATGCAATTACATCTGATGCATGGCTTCAAAACATGATAGTATAAGGAGCAGACAATATTTACCTTATAACATCCAACCTTCAAATTACCAGCAGTATAGTATAGCAGACACTCGTGCGTGCGCACATGGATATACCCATGTATACAGTTCTCACTGCTTACCAAATAAGCTCAATGACAATGTGGCAACGTCGCGAGTTCATGCGGGCGCCTCATACCCTTCCAACTCCATTTAGGGGTAGTTTGGAACGTATTTTCAACTGCCTCCCATTTAAAAACTAGTTGCCTTAAAAAATTAATTCTGACGGGGTTCACTTTAGAAAAAACTGCTCTACACGCTGTTCCCGGGAAATGCCACCGATACATATCATCCTGTATACTGCTACTATGTAAAAGACGATGTAAATGTTTTATCATGTACATACCCACAGTAGGTCATTTCACTATAATACAAATATACATATATATATATATATATATATATATTCATATGTACATAGAGAGAGAGAGAGAAAGAGGGAGAGAGAGACAGGATCGACGAAACGTAAGACGGCAATGAAAAAAAATAATCTCCGTAGAATTTCTCCATGGCTGCAGCTCATGCGTTTAGTCCATCGACTGCTATTTAGTAAGGCTATATATTACATATGAGTGTACCATGCCAGTTAGTGCGTGTCATCCTTGGCTACAGTCCATGCGTTTGGGACATGGTACACTATGGATATAGGCTGTAGATGACATGTGAACATACCAACAGTTTTATGACCGTAATCAACGGTTACAGTCCATGTGAACGAGGCATAGATTGGATTAAGATGAAAGCATAAGCTTGATGCCTGTAATGCCAATGCCTTCTTACCGTTAATTATTTGCACTTGCACCGTGAGAAATATGCATGACTTTTCCCTCCGTGTACAGAGCTTGTACTGAAAGAAAATCGGGTGTAGGATCTGACCAATTTTTTCTGTATCAAGAGACCTCGATAATTTTAAATGCTAACACTACGAAATTTGGAATATACCAGGTTGGAGAATTACAAAGTGTTCTGTTTACTAATTGGAAGACTCGCCATACGTATTTGGTAGCGTCAGATGTCGACGAATCGTTGGACGCAGAGAGCACGACGCTGGAAGCGTCAAACTGAGCTTCCCAACTTGGGAGAGTAAGAGCTCGACATTAGTTGAGGTCGCTCGGTCCTATTATCGAGCCATAATACTTCGGCATTGAGTGTAAAAAGTATGTAGGTAAACCGATTCAAATACATTGATGGAAGAGAGGAGTGTTGTATAATATATACTTGGCATATTACGGTGTATTGGCGTAATGTGAATGAGGGGGTATATATATTTTCTTGTTTAGTGTTTTGAGAATGAGTCTTAAAATTTGCACATATATAAGAACTTCACACCGAGAGACTTAAGTGCTCGCATGTGTGGGCTTTTATTTATCCAACAAGTATTTTAAACTTTGAGGGCTTCAGCTCAAGTAATTTCAAGCGCTCGCTTATGTGCGCTTTAATTAATTATATGTATATAAATTTATTATAAATATGATTATAACCAAATAAATTATATTATTAAGATTAAATATTTATTATAAGGTTATTGTTTGATATTGCAACTGTGTTAAATTAATTTTATGTTTGTTTATGTTTGCCACTCTTAAATTATTGAATACCTATTAAATAAATCAAAGCGCACACAAGCGAGCGCTCGATATTACTTGGGAGAAAGCTCTTGAATTTTTAAATACTTATTAAATAGATAAAAGCGCACACAAGCGAGTGCTCTAAATTACTTGCGATAAGGCTCTTAAATTTTTAAATACTTTTTAAGTAAATAAAAGTGCGGTGAAGCGAGCGCGGAAAATTACTTGGGTAGAAACTCTTGATTAGTAAGTATATTTAAAATTGAGTGAACCGTGCGTATTGGGTTTCGTGAGTGAGTTTTTATGCATACACGTTTTTCTGTTGTTAGTACTTTATAAATAAATAAATATCCGAACATTTTTTAATACGGAATAATTAAATAAAAAGAAAAAAAGTGACTCTATCGAGTCTTGAACTCATGATCATTGGGTCCAAAATAGAACGCGTACTCAACTGAGCTATTACTCAATATGGGTGAGTGAACTTAAAACTTACATATGTTCATAGTATGTACCAGAGCTTAACCTTTACTTGTGTATGCTTTCGTTGATTATATTTTAATTTTAGTTTTGTATATCCTAAGTTAAACCTACTTGGATATTTTACTTTTCCTCAATTTTTGAAGAAAAGCTTTTAAGCGTCGGCCTGCAAGTGTTGCAGGACTCCAGCAATTAGTTTGTTGAGTTTTTATTTATGTTTGAACTAATAATGAATCAAAGTATGTGATCGCACTGGGTAACTGAGGATCAGCTGCTTGGGATGATTCCTCAAATTTGTATATATATTTATATATCGACGGCTGTGACGAAGACAATCACAGAGGGCCGTCACCCCATTTCAAATCACATGGCGTGACGGAACGCTGTGATTGTCTTCGTCGCAGCCGTCGATATAAATTTAGATGTATATAAATTTCCTCTCATTTATAGATATTTCAGTCTCTATATATACTTTTTATACTCAATGCCGAAGTATAATGGCTCGATAATGGGACCGAGCGACCTCAACTAACGTCGAGCTCTTACTCTCCCAACTTGGGAAGCTCAGCTTACCAACTCCGAGGTTTGACGCTTCCAGCGTTAAGCTCTCTGCGTCCAAACGATTCGTCGACATCTGGCGCTACCAAACACGTACGATGAGCCTTCCAATTTAGAAACAAGATACTTCAAAAAATTTCTACTTAATATATTACCAAGTTTGGATTGATGTCAGTCGTATTTTGAAATTTTAGAAGTAAGAAATTTATTGAGCTCGGGTATTTCCAAGGTTGGAGATATCCTACATCCAAAATTCTTTCAGTGTGGTCTGACTCCCCTTCCGTGCTTCCTACCCGTACCTCGGAGATGTGTGTGTGCGCGCGTGCGCGATGTTGAGAGAGTGGATCTATGCAGGGCAGCTATCGGTGTATCGGTGTCCCGGGAGCAAACATGGTATTGGTGGCCAATCTGTAGTCCGTATTTCAATATGATCGATGATTGTATTATTCAAATTTTTTTTCTTAAATCAAAGGAAAAAAAAGTAGTATAAATATAACCATGTATTACATTTTTTATTACATAAAAATTAAGTCCCTTCTCATTGAATTCATTTCAAGTAACATATGAATAAGTCTTTTTTTGTGGTAGTTGAAGTCTAATGATAATGTTACAGGAGCATGAGTCATATAACTTAAATTTTCTAATTTACAATTCTACATACTAATTGTTTAATTTAATTGTCATAGTTTATAACATAGTTCTTATAAATCTTAAATGTCTGTTTATTACAGGGTCAAAGACTCCTAACAATGTCTTGTTCTGATAAAATTGCACGATGGAACGTTTTGGGTATACAAGGTGCACTACTTAGTCATTTTTTAGAACCAATATATTTCCACAGTATTGTTCTTGGAAGTCTTTTGAATCCTAGTCATATGTACAGAGCTGTATGTGGACGTATCGAAAATACGATTCAAGGATTACCTCCACCATATCGTTTAAATAAACCATTAATGAGTTTGATCACATCATCAGAAGTCAGACAGCCTGGAAAAGCACCCAATTATAGTGTTAACTGGACAGTTGGTTAGTGTTTTTTTATAAATTTCTTGTTTATGTTTATTACAAACCTATAAAAATGAGATTCTCATTATTAGGTATTAGGTAAGAGATAGTCTCCAAGCTTTTTGACTTTCTTTATACATTTTAAAAATGACAAATTTAAGTGTCTTGTAAAAACTCATTCATAGTATATTTATTATTAGCAAAGAAAACAGAAATTCTAAAAATGAATTTTATTGTATATCTGTATTAAAAAAATCAGTAAGATATAGAACATAACTTTTATTAACTGCTCTCTTTTTTGTCAAAAATTTTTTAAGTCAATTTTATCTGTTTAACTATTCAAAGTTGTTTATTTATGTATTATGGCAATAGCTAACTACAGCTTGTATTGTATCAACCAGCAAAACTTTGAAATGTAAATCAACTATTTTGGTTAAGTTACATTCTGGGCATATTAAATGTGGAAGTACTATTTTTTTGGATAAAAAAGCCACAGAATATTTATTGCTTTCGTTTGCGTATAGGATTTTTATAATTTGATTAATTGGCTATGGAATGCTCAACGTTTGACACTGTTTGCCTTGAGCAGTAATTATGACCGGTTTTATTCATTCTCGTAAGATCTAGGAAAGATTAAATGTAAGTACAAGATCTTACACTTGTCAGGAAGGAAGATTTGTTTAATTTTTTTATTTGCTAGTCTAAATTAAGTAGATTCTGTGAATGATAATTTCATTATATTATGGTATTTATGAAATTTTTAAATTTAGTTATAAAACCTAAAAATTTGTCTGTCCCGTACTGCTCCGCTTGCTAATCCTCTGGTAGTATACTTTAAGTATAATCTTTTCTTAATAAGTCTTGCACTTCTATGTTACTAAGCCTTAAACAATTATTTTATTTATTGTTTTGTAGTCAAAAAAATATGTTTAATTAAATCTCTCCAGCTTCGTAAGACTACGACATTCCTTAGAAATTCTTAAAAAAAGATATTCTGCTGACCAGAAACGAAAACAATACGAAATACTTTTCAAAGATAAAAAATTAAATAACTTTAAAGAACTAATGGATGCAAAAATAAGTTGAGAGCAGTTGTGGAGGTAGATTAAAACAAATAGAATTAAAACAAAAATGATGTATAGTCCATTTAAATAATAAGACAGACAGGGCTAGACCTAATTCAAGAAACTTACAATTAGCTGCAGTAGTATGAGTAAAAGTATTAACTACGGTAAATCTAACAGAGCAACATTATTAACTTTTCGTTCGTTTTTGCAGGTGTACGATTTTCTGAGCTTCCCCTTTACACTATTGAGTTCTTATACCATCCGCAATAGCCTTGTTTTTAGTAACCCTGTCAAATTTTGCTACTCGTTAAATATGTAAAGGAAAACGGGAAAGTCAAGCCGATAATTAACAATAGCTCTTTCCCCTCTTTCTGGCTCAGATATGCCAGAGAGAGAGAGAGAGAGAGAGAGTCTGCACGGCCACTTCAATATAAGTAACGGAATTTTCTAATTCCCAGGGCACCATGAGCCGATATCCTGTCCAACGAGTAGGCAAAGAGAAATGTACGAATTAATCATGCTACTGACATTTTGGAATACATTCGTAACTAACAATAAATTGAAATGACCGACAAGCTTAGTTAAGTAAACAATCAATGGGTCGCGACAAACACCTGATTACGGCACACCTACCAACTATTGTAGTTATTACTGACTAAAAATTATCACTACTAAACCTATTGTTAATACCACAACTCACCAGATGATTATTCAATTAAAACTTACACGAAATATTAAGTGATTTTCACCGCTCTTGTTGCAACAAGCTTGATTAAATGAACGAACTGTGCATAGCATTAGTAAAATTTAGTAATACCTCATCTTAATGTTAGTATTAAGTTACATGAAAAATCTGTAAAATTTGGATGGAAAGAAGATAGGAAGAACACGAGTGAGTGAATCACCTTCCTCTTTCTTGATGCATGCAGGAGAGCAAGCCAGATGTGGGAAGTGCCAATTTTTGAGTGGCTCAACTAGAGCAGCTCTAGCAAATTAGATCTTTGGCTATTGTCTTTTCCTCCAAGATTTTCGCCGGCAAGCTTTCCTGCATCGTTGTCGAGCCAGTGCTTGGACGAAGTCCGCTACTCCTTATAAAAAGGGCCTAGAGGCCCAGAAACTGGCATCTTAATACTTATAATAAAAATAAGTTGTTTCCAAGCATTAAAATAGTTAAACTTGTCTTTTCTCCTATTTTTTTTTGGTCGTGGATTTAGTCTTACCTATTGCGGTATCGATAAGTTTTAAATAGTGGGAATAAATGATCGAGTGTTCTTGCGTAAAATCTAGGGTAATCACCTCTACTCGGGATGGTATTGGTGACTCCTAGACCGGTCGCGAATTTCAACTACAACTTACCCGTTGCATAACCTCTAGAGCAACTACCTTTACTCGTTACGGTACCGGTAACCTCTAGATCGTGCACGAGACATTATTTGATACGTCCCTCCGTGTAACATTGATAACCCAAGAGCGCGTCGCGAGTAAGTGTATCTGGATACTTCACAATAATCGATTCATAAAAAAATATTCAAAACATAAAAAAATACTTTATACTAAAATCTTTTGTGGAAGAATCGTCTTTCCTTTTTTCGATTATTGTTGAATGATTGTAGTTATCATTTAACCCTGCCTTCAATTTAAAACTGAAAGTTGTGGACTGCAGTCTCACGTTTTCTTATGGGCTGTGGGACCAGCAGACAGTCCAACTATTTGGCTATTTACTAATTAAGAAAAATGAAAGAGAGAGAGAGAGAGAGAGATTTGATTTGATTTGAAAGCTAATTTATTTATGCCAAGGGCATTACACCCGAATGGCAATTTTTTGAAGTACAAAGATTTTTTGATATTGATATTATCGACAGTATTAAACAAAAGTTACAGAATTTTTACAGATTTTGATTTAGTTTGAACGGCGACAATTTAACATAGCAATCTATACATATATATATATATATATATTCGTTAATTTACATTAGGTCGCACTTAATTTTAGTTTCATTTACAGTATACCCTAGATTTGAAAAAGACAAGTAATAATTAATCGTAACAAAATATCTTCAGTCTTGCCATAATGGCTTAGTAGAGCTTACAATCTTAAACATAAGCGTGCTTAGTAGTCAGTCCCCCTGTTTTTCTAAATAAAAACGGTAAAGAGTCGTCTTAAAGACGTTCAGCGAATCAACCTGCCTAATACTTAGTGGAATAGTATCCCACAACCGCATAAGTCTCTGCGAAAAGGCTGATGCGTATGACGATAGCGATGCAGTGGGAATCATAAATGTCGGCCGATCACGACGCGCTGAACAACGGAGCCCATCCGCAAATCGGGGGAGTAAGTCGAACAAGTACGAAGGCTCACCCGAGGCCAAGAGTTTATAGGCAAACACAGAACGAGAGAGAGAGAGAGAGAGAGGGAGAGAGAGAGAGAGAGAGAGAGGGAGAGAGAGAGAGAGAGAGAAAGAGACTGTGTGTTCAGGGGTATTGGGAGGTATTAAATTTATTTCCCTTACCGTGGAAGTTTATTTATTTTATTAATCTCTCTTTACAATGTTGTTACTGTGGCTTATCATTTTTTTTGCTTCCTCCGTATACTCTTATTTATTTACTAGTCAATCAGGAGTAATTTTTTTCTATTCAATAAAATTTATATTTTTTATATGTTTACTTAGATTTGATTACACTTATATTAATATCAATAAGAACGGTAGCAGACCACGCATACTAAATTGACAAGTAGCATATCTGACGAAATTAATCAATTTTATTAGTCCACACTCGATGAGTAGTGGAAATCTACTAACTAAAATGCCGCGCAAAGAAATGCACCTTGCGCGAAGATTTCGTCAAAACTTTGTTTTGCTTACTATGGAGCCAACACTTGCTGACATTATATGTTTAAACTTACTGGCTCGCTTCGATCGTTACTTGACACTTCCGAAAGCCATTAAATAGGTAATCAGGTTCGTTAGGGTATGACTTTCGTTAAGGATCACTTTTTTTAAAGCATCAAGATTTTGTCATTGAAAAAGAGAAAAAAAAATTTATTTATGCAAGTTATTGCTTAGTGGCCTGCCCTTCTTAAAACTATTGCCGTACTTGGTGAATATATATATATGTATATGTAAGCAATCTGAATTAAGGTAAGAAGTGGATCATTGTAAATTAATACTTCAAAAATTTTCAAAAAGTTTTCACTTTTTACCCTTCCCTTTTCAAAACTATTCTAACCTTATATGTAAAAATCTATTGGAAATAATCTCAAACTTACATACTAGTATTATAAGAATAATTATGTTATACTAATTATATTGGTCTTTTATCGTAGCATTAAAGTATTACTGTAAAGAAAATAGCATTGTGCTAAAAATAGCATGTACAAAAGTAAGTAACGATTGATCTAAAACATTAATACATGTACTTGGGATTGTGCAAAAGGAAAAGATATTAGGATTTATTATTAGTACATTAAGATCTAGTACTATAAATATAACTTAAGTTTACATTATTAATATGAAAATATGAATCTAGATATGTTATATCAGGCATTTTTCTTTTTGTTCTTTTCTCATTTAATACGTGATGCTAATAATTGTACTCAATATAAATTTGCTTATCGTTTTCATAGATCTTAAAACTAAAAAATGTATTCTCTTAAAGTAGAATGTAGCTTAAAATAGGATTCATCGTTCTGCAATTCTAGAGTAGCACTTTTAGGATCCACATACTCCATTTATCCTTAAGATATTCTTTCTCGTGTATCTCTAGCGGCATAACAATATTCTAAAATTCCAAATCAAGAGAAATGGTTAAAGAAGTCTCTTCAGTTTTCTTTTCTTCTATATCCCATGGTAAAAAACAAATAAGTATTTTGGGATCAATATTTGAAAAATCATTTTTATCATTTTTTTATGATGTTAATGAAAAAAACTTTTTTGCTTGACAGATGGTAGATTT